TTTGATGTTTATGCTTTTTAAAAGCAGAAAGTCTATTTTTTTCTAGATCTGAATAAGTACGCAAAATATTAATTTATCTCAGATAACAAATTATGAAGAGAATAAAGAGGAAGAATGAACATACATACAAAAGAGTGACTGTGATTTTTTTGGAATGAGAGAGGTGATCACGTACAAATATTATTGCTGATATTACACGCCCTTTATGTCTGAATCCTGGCAGAAGCAAGACTGCATTCACTGTAACATTTACATAAAGAATTTAAAAATTTATACATTATACAAAAATGTATTACGCATATAAATGAAGTTTTGATTTATTACCTGCAATATAAAACAAAAATAAATTGTTGATTGTACTTCCAATCCATGTACAAAGTAGGAGACAAGTTATTATTCCTGAACAATACTGAAACACAAAAATAAGCTAGTTGAATGGATATGAAACAGAATAGATCATTATTATTATTTATTTTCCTTTAGCTTACAAAACTTGGACGAGTATTTCGTGTTTCTAACACTGATGCCCATAAATCTTGGAACTGTAAAATTGTTCCAGACAGATTTTGACAAATCTCATTCAACTTCTTCTCTTTTTGACCTGTCCAACCATTAGCAGCGCACAAAAGTGATGTCATAGGTGGAACAAGATAATCAACCAAGGCTAACACAAGAAGGGTTACAGATACTATCGTAAGAAAAGCAGGTTCCAATATCCATATTAAACTGTAAAAGAAAACAACAAGAAAAAAGTACTTATTAAATAGGACACAAAGCCCTGGAGGATACCATTAACAAATACAAATAATATATGAAAAGAAACTAGCTATTTGTACTATTTATTTTATAAATTTAATAAATAATAAAACAACATTTCTAAGTTAAATATTATGAATGTAAATAAAATATACTTTCACAATAAATTGTTTTATGTAATACATCAAAGTAAATTCCATGTATGTGAAACAGTATTGCTTACAAGAATATTGTACTTGTTACTCCAAATATAAGTCCAGGATACCAAGATCGTTCCCATAATAGAATGGAGTTCATTGGAAGTATTACTTCACGCCAACATTCCATTCTGCGTTTTAATTGCTTCATGTGGTGTTCCTACAATAAATTTGTGTTGTTAAAGAAGATAAATGAGTGTCACTGTCATTGATTTTTCTCCCATAATGAAACTATGATTTCATATTTAAAATGGAATTTTCTAGATAAAGGTTATACCATATATTAGATGAAATCAAAACTAAATAAAATGAATAGTCTGACCCTTTCTATTGTCGCACTGTCGGTCATCCTGTTTAACGTATAACGAAATATTTAAATTCGTTCTGACAGAGGACACGGTATAAATGCAACGTGAATGTGAAATTATGTAAAACTTATTGTAGAACACGACTACAGTCTCCTTGCATGATCCAGTCTTATATGCTTCTAAATTCGAGCATTTCTTCGTCCTTTAATTCAATTACGATGACGATCGTTCAACAAAAGTCAAGACGCCGGATACCCTTCTTGCTTGAAAACACACGAAATGACGACGAATCGACTTCTGCCTTCGAGATTATTGTAACTCGCACGCGATTGGCTGTCAGTTCAAAATGTTGGTTATTGCAGGCGATGCTGTGCTGATGTTGTGACGTTAAAGATTTTCTAAGAGTATACATTAAATAATCGCGTCCTGAGCGCGTGTAGTTGATATTTCCTGTAAAATTTGTTGAATATGGCTGCTGTAAGTTCTGTAAGTACCCGATGACACATATTATTCCGTAACTGCGAACTTTTAACGATGGTGCTTCTTGTTTATCCTCTGGTTAAGGGGATAGGCTTCTCCGTTGTATACATTCTCACCTGCTTATTCAACCTGCTATTATGATTTACATTTTAGAAATCAAATGTCGAAAACTTATCCCCACAAATAATCCGACGGGTAGCCAAGGAAATGAGTGAATTAGCTGCACAACCACCCGAGGGTATTCGTGTTATTTTGAATGAGGAAGATGTTACGGATATCCAAGCAATTATTGAAGGACCGTGTAAGATCAATGCTCACGTAATTATTATTCTTGTTAAATGTAGATCATATAATATTTATCAAACAGTTGTACAATTATTGCACCATAACCTATTCATATGTCATTTATGTATGTACAGGGTGTCGAAAACGTAATGGTCATCCGTATTATGGACTATTCTTCATGTTACACATGCACTTGTAAACAAAAATAGACTTCTTTACTTAGAAAGAGTAAAAAATCCTGAAAGGAACGTATGTCAGAAATGCCTTGTTTTTTCCAGAATTAATGATTAAAGTTTTTAATGTTTTTAGTTATTAAAGAACGTTTATTAAGTTCTGCAATGTTATGGTACCATATAAGTTACAAGTATTATGAAATTTATTTATATTAAGTGGTAAAAACATATGTTAATATTGGCATTATCCATTGTCGAAAGTTTATATTGTGGAGAATTATCCTCAGAATAGATGACCATTATTTTTTTAGCATATACATGTAAATATGAAAAAATAATTACATACTCATTTAGTGTTAATTTTAGTTCTACATGATAACAATATTTTTTTATGACACTAGCTGGAACACCATATGCAGGTGGTTTCTTTAGAGTAAAATTAGCACTCGGCAAAGATTTTCCCCAAGGACCACCAAAGGCTTTCTTCCTAACAAAGATCTTTCATCCAAATGTTGCGAAAAATGGAGAAATATGTGTTAATACATTAAAAAAGGATTGGAAATCAGATCTCGGAATTAAACATATATTACTAGTAAGTTCTTTATAAATGAATAAATTTTTAATTATGAATGGTTTTTATAGAAATTTATAATGTAAATTGTAATTTTTAGACTGTAAAGTGTCTCTTAATAGTGCCAAATGCAGAATCTGCTTTAAATGAAGAAGCAGGTAAATTACTTTTAGAAAGGTACGATGATTACTCTGAACGAGCAAAAATGATGACAGAGATACATGCACAGGTAAAGTATTACAAAGCATATTAAATTCACTCACATGCATACCCAGCATAAAATTATGTATAATGAACTTATACCTCAGGGAAGCGGAAAAGGCAGCAAAGCGGGTCTGGAAAGTTGTGCTTCCTCTGAAGTCGGAGGACCTCCCCCCAAAAAGCATGCAGGAGATAAAAAAATTTCAGCAGAAAAGAAAAAAATGATAAAAGACAAAAAAAGGACACTAAAGAGATTATAAGAAAAATCAACTTCGTTTATCTATCTTTTATAATTTAAAACACTGGTGTGGTAATGTTGCCTCATATTGTACACAATTATTGCATAGTAAAAGTTTATTATCTAAACACGACTGATCTTATTATTAAGTATTTAGAAAATTAATAATTCCAGAAGCATTAATGAATGACTTCCTAAGATGCAAACAAGTACAACTCTGTAGTGATCTACTTTACAATCACGAGTGGAAAGTAATTTAGTCCACTCTGGTATCTAGTAGTAAATATTTTTACATATGTACAAAATACCTCGTGTGATTATTTAAATAAATAAAGAATGTTCTCGAAACCAATGTTTTCCTTCACAATATTCCTTTTCATATAAACTGTGTTTCTACTATAAAAGTGAAATAATTGAGATATCCGAAATAAAACGATTAAAAAAGTTTTTACGCATTTTAAACGGACAAAAGTTTTATCAAAATACGAAACTACGATATATTAGGTGGGAAATAAATATTATTTCGTTGTCAAGAGTATTGTTATTTATTAGGTAACGACTCGTCAGTTTGTTTGCTTCAGTCTTGTGCCACTGCATTGCCATTCATACGCTGAATATTTAGGAGCGTATACATTGTCTTACAAGCCCATTACTGCACAGTAAAATATTTCATTAGTTGTTGACTAGATAACAGTATGTCACAGCCTTATTCCACTATGAGCTATTAACTACGCATAGTGGTAAATTTCATTATCCATGGTAAGAAAACAATTCGATAAACATAATGTACAAAGGTATTATTAAGGTACTATTAATATATAATAGTAATTGACATATATACTGTATAATAGGATAATCTACAAGGTGTAAACTAAGTTTAAAAATGGATACTTAGATCACTCGTTATTCTATGAATCAAAAATTAGATTGAGGGCTAGAAGCACGTTCTGTACTTTGATAAACAACAACTTTTAAAGATGAATTTTACTGTATTTTTCATCTGATAACCACACACGCACGATAGTACATACAAATCCATACAGTCTTTACATCGTAACTTTTTTTTATTTTTTCATTCCTGTCTGTTGCGGTGTCATAAAAAAATTATGAACTTCTATAAATCATCTTTCTTAAGTCTGTAAAATTTGTATGCCAATTTCCAGAGAAAACGTCAAAAATAAAAAAGACTCGTTTAAAATAAATTTGTTATAACATTTTGCTAATGATACAGGTATTACTTATTTTATATATTCTCATGAAAATTAGGAAAACACATTGTATCGTGTTAAGTCGATTCTGAACAAAAACTTAAGAGTGAAGGTTTGTGACGTTGTTACTTTACTTCTTTAACATAAGCTTCCAATTCAGCATCTAGTTCTTCAGCGGTGGGAGTTTTCATCACTTGCCGACTGCCTCCTCTACCACCACGTCGACCGGTTCCACGTCCTTTAAATAAAAAAATTACACATTCATTAACTGATTTATTTCTTTTTCAAACGAAATTTCCATATAATTTCTGATTTATATGATTATATACCTCTGATGGGGCCTGTTCCACGATTACCCCTAAAGCGGGACTGAGGTCTCTGTGTATAATTACTGCCAGTAAGTCTCGGGCCTCCACGGATAGATGTGACTGGTATTTCAGAGGTAGCAACTTGTATGTTCATTTCACGACCTGCCGATGTACATCACACATTGCAATAATAGATGTGAATATTTGTGCAAATCATAATTCACTAGAACTTCTTTGAAATTTTTGTTTTTCTTTAATTTCATCCCATGTTGGAGTGTTTATAGAAGAATAAAAGAGAAAATGCTCAAACTGTATGTCACTATGTATAAACTGGAGACCAGATTAATTAGTGATACTGAAACCCTAAATATAGGCGGAATTTTATAATTAAAAAAGTGACATTCAAAGAAAAAATTATAATATAAGCATAAAGCTACACACCATCTAATGGTACACCATTGTACTGTTTCATTGCTTTAATAGCATCTGCTCTTCTTTCAAATATAACATCTGCAGATCCCAAAGATCGACCTGACCTATCATAATGTACTGCAGCTGACTTCAAGGGACCAAATTCACTAAATAATTCCTAGAGGCACAAACACATAAAAATAAAGTCATTAAAAATCTCTTTCAATTGATTTATATTAATATACTAATTTTAATTTGTTTAATGAATATACCTGAATATCTGAATCTGATACACCAAAATCCAAATTGGACACAAGTAGCTTGGTTGTTCCTGTACTACCTATCGCACTTCGGCCAACCTTTTTTACTCCATCAAACATATCATGCTTCCATGCACTGTTTACATCACCCTATGAATGAAAGACACATTTGTCATCAGTTTCTTTTCTTCACAATAAAACTAGTTACACAATTAATTGTTGATCTTTATCACACACGATATTGGACAAGCGACAAATTAAAATTTTTTAATACACGACACTTTTCTCGGAATTAATCGGAAAAATAGTGAGGAATTATACGAAATTCGAGAAATTTCAACTACTTACACTACTGGTATTGGTGAGAACGTCTAAGAAATTATGTACGCAGTTACCCTTAAAATTAAGCGCTTAATATATGTTTAATAAAAACGTGAATTATAACAATGCCAAAAGAGATATATGACGAAGAAATAAATTATTTTTGTTGGAAATCTTACAAACACCGCATGGATGGTGTTCTAACCTTCACGAAACGGCTACAGTTTAAAATACGATCATCATACCGCGTTGAAGATTAAAATAATTCATACACGAGCATTTAAAGCGGAAGTAACATGATAGGTTCCAATATTATGGTGCACATGACATTGTCTATATGATATCAGATAGAAAAAGTTCGACGAAAAAGATAAATTGAGCGAATTTCTTACCCTTGTGTATGGAAGAGAACTTCGTGTAATGCCACCACGACTGCGTCCTCGCATGACGCCACCACCAACTCTTTGAGGTCTGCGTATTCCTCTACGAGGTGAGTTACCGGCGCCTCTTCCTCGTCTGCTACCGCCGCCGCGCGGTCTACTCCCTTTGTTTTGCTTGATAATATCATCCAGGCTCATTTCTATTTTATCCACCATCTTCATTTGTGCTAGCTTTCGTAAAACGGCACTGCCACAGGAAAATCAGCAAAACCAACCTCTTTCGTCTTCGTAAGATGATGGCGGCGAACGAAGACGAAACAAGCGCGCACAGAGACCTGGGTATAAAGACCATTGATTACAAATTATTCTCAAGAGGCGCAAAATTGTATGGAAAATGTGTGCCGTCATGATTTTCCGATTTGCCACCAGATGGCTACGAATACATCGTCTTCGTGGATAATTTATTCATCCGGATTACAGTTTACACATAAATACAGTTGATAGTGCTTAGACTGTAGTAAGTCCGTGTGTGTACAATAATCTTAGAGCACAGCTCGGAATTAACTGCACATGACAGAGACAGAGCATTTTCGGAGACTGCTCTGAAATGTGCTGCACGATGATATCATCCAATCCCATTTGTGAGATCTCTCTTGCAACACATTTCAGAGCAGTCTCCGAAAATGCTCTGGCTCTGTCATGTGCAGTTATATAATTCCGAGCTCTAATCGGCAATATAGATCATCAAAACTATTGCTCCGATTTTGAAAGGCGCGCAACTTAAAAACTAATCGGGAGACGGGAACTATGTGATAATCATGTCCATGGTGATTATGTGATCGACATCTGCCACTCATGAACTGTAGTCCGTGACTGCCATCGCCACATCTTTTGTAAATTTCATTACAATATTAGATTACTGATTGTTTTAAATAGAGGTATTGTTTTTGTATTATTGAATATCGATATACTTTCAATGAAATTCCTAAATGACGAAATATGTTATACGCTTTCTGATTTTCTTAGTTTTCCATGTTGAATTTTNGCCGCGCGGTCTACTCCCTTTGTTTTGCTTGATAATATCATCCAGGCTCATTTCTATTTTATCCACCATCTTCATTTGTGCTAGCTTTCGTAAAACGGCACTGCCACAGGAAAATCAGCAAAACCAACCTCTTTCGTCTTCGTAAGATGATGGCGGCGAACGAAGACGAAACAAGCGCGCACAGAGACCTGGGTATAAAGACCATTGATTACAAATTATTCTCAAGAGGCGCAAAATTGTATGGAAAATGTGTGCCGTCATGATTTTCCGATTTGCCACCAGATGGCTACGAATACATCGTCTTCGTGGATAATTTATTCATCCGGATTACAGTTTACACATAAATACAGTTGATAGTGCTTAGACTGTAGTAAGTCCGTGTGTGTACAATAATCTTAGAGCACAGCTCGGAATTAACTGCACATGACAGAGACAGAGCATTTTCGGAGACTGCTCTGAAATGTGCTGCACGATGATATCATCCAATCCCATTTGTGAGATCTCTCTTGCAACACATTTCAGAGCAGTCTCCGAAAATGCTCTGGCTCTGTCATGTGCAGTTATATAATTCCGAGCTCTAATCGGCAATATAGATCATCAAAACTATTGCTCCGATTTTGAAAGGCGCGCAACTTAAAAACTAATCGGGAGACGGGAACTATGTGATAATCATGTCCATGGTGATTATGTGATCGACATCTGCCACTCATGAACTGTAGTCCGTGACTGCCATCGCCACATCTTTTGTAAATTTCATTACAATATTAGATTACTGATTGTTTTAAATAGAGGTATTGTTTTTGTATTATTGAATATCGATATACTTTCAATGAAATTCCTAAATGACGAAATATGTTATACGCTTTCTGATTTTCTTAGTTTTCCATGTTGAATTTTTGAATAAAACAACGGCTCTATCAATGCATTCATTGGCTGTCGAGATATGTCGATTGCAGTGAAATTACACGTAGCGACATTTTGGAAGTTTTAGGTCTTGTCACTTACCGAAGCGTGGAAGAACAAACAATCAATTTCTTTCGAACTGTCCGTCGTAATTTATTGACTTTTCGATGTGTTCTTTAATTTTTCAGATGAGATATCGTCCATGAACTTAAGAATATATAGACGGAGCATATAACCTAACTTTCGATAAGGGAGAAATGAGATTTGCCGTAAGGGGGGACTACAGACACTTCGGCACTTTCGGTTTGACTCGGAATCACTTGGAACCATGCACCTAAGTTCGGTTTGACTCGGAATCATTCGGAACGCACAAAAATAATCGAAGTGCATGTAATTTTCCCTTACCGCAAATATCAACCCCTTCTCGATGTAATGTTTCGTCGATATACATATTCTTAGGTCCATGGGTTTAGCAGATGTTTAACTGTTAGCAGTTTGAGCAGACCCCCTTTTTAACTTTGTTACAATATTTCATCATAAAAAATGGCGCTATTTTAAAATTTTTAGGCGTGTTCTCTTTACTTTCAACAATCAATAAACTTTTTTATTGATTGATTGATTGTTTGACGATGTAACTTCAATGCTTTATATTCTTATTTACTAAACACTTAATCACTTTGAAAACATGAACAATTATTAAGATAAAATTGTACAGTTTTATAATTAGAAAACGAATTTTTCGTAAATACAGTATATGTATATTAACTCTATAGTAATTGACCGAGATAGAACTGACCAGACTTGGTTGCAACCCACCACACAGATACATAGAATTCGGTTGAAATTATATTACGTAACTTAGTAATTAATGCGATAAAACTGGAGAATTCAGTACATCGTTTTTGAGTGTATAAAGGATTCGAAATGAAATAGTTTCTCTCCAATATATTCACTTTAAAATCAAAAGTCTTTAGAAAACGATCTTATTTTACTTTTCGGGACGAATTACAGTAAGTGACACAAGACATCCTATAGACCTACTGTAGAAAATATTTCTTTGTATAGTCATTGTTTCTTCGTTATGAAAAAATTACACCTCGATATCTTCTTCAGCAGCCGGCAGAACCACTGTCGCAACGTTAATTGGCTTTGTCCTGGCTTTCTTGCACAACAAGATCTGCACTCTTCCCGATATTCTACTGGTTAGGGTTGCATTTAAAGCCATGGGAATGGGAATTCCACTTGGGAGTAAAGGGACATCCATAACACGTGGCCGGACATCCGTGTTCTCACTTCTACAAACGACGTACAATCCCGTGTCCGACATTTCGTCGGACACATTCGTCAGCGTGATACGAATCTGATAGCTCGGTCCTAGTCCCAAAACGGTAGCCTCCATCGTGATCAGACGTGGTCCAGCATCTTGACTCTCGTTTAAAGACTCCACCGTCTTTTTAGCGACTATTAAGCGTAGCCGTAGAAGACCCTGTTGAAATGTGCTGTGGATCTTCTTCGCCTCTGATCGTTCCCGTATCGTTTGCTCGACGAACAATCGTGTTTTCTTTGGTATCGTGAACTTCGGACCGTCATTGGTCAGCGAGTCCGTAGTCGTGTTGTGGACGCTGAAGTCTGCAGTCCTCTTTAAGATCTTCACACAAAGTCCACCGCCCACGGTGACCATCGCCATGGTTCGTTCTTCTTGACCCATTCGACCGTACTGAAGCAATAAGGAAATATAAAGATCCAATTGAATTTTAATAACGAAAGAAGCATTACCTTCAACGCTGATACCGGCTCCATAATCTTCAAGGTATCCACATGGTGCTTTCCATCGTAGACCCGAATGCCGAAGCCAGCAGTGCTCACAGCGAGCAAAGACAGCCCACTTTGTGGCACTGGTAAGCTCGTTGAATCGAGAATTGCCCCCGGAACGTCAACGTTCCATAGTTTAATGCCCTGTGAAATTAATATTGCCCTTAAAACTGTATTCAATTTGTCGTATATGCTAAGCACTACTCCGAGTACCTTTTTCGAAAAACCAACCAAGGTACCATCCATAAGAGTTACCGCGACCTTGTCGTTGTTGAGAACTGAAATAGCCACAGCTGGCGCAGACAACTGTTCCCAAAGTTTCATGGGCGATCCTCTTTTTATCGCGCCGATCTTACCGTCCCTTGCGATAATCAGTATTTTACCGTCGCCTGTCCATAAACCGGTGCACGCGAACGCTACCGGTGCCCATCCGACAAAATGCTTGTCCATGGCAGTGAACGTTCTATAGTAAAATTGTGATCGATATTTATCCATGAATTTATCAAACATCTTGTAGAGGTTGATATTTAATTGACAAATCCGTTACCGAGGGTCCAAAACAAGAATTTCCCCGAATTCCGTGCCGAGCACGATGCAACCACTGGCAGGGTTGGACCAAGTGTCTTTTCGAATCACGGAAATGGCGGACAACGTGTTACTTTTAATCAGTGGAATCGTTTTGTACTTTGCTGCAAAGCCCGCCTTCAAATTCGGATCCATGGAAAGGAACTTCAACGTCCGCGGCGAGATGAATCCTGCTCCAAGTTCTTTCAACAGCAATTCTAATTCATCCGTTAGCGTGAGTACATTCAACTCATCTTCCAGTCCTGCTTTGTGCCAGATCTGTGTGGTGTATTGATCAAAGTTATTATAAAAAGCATTGACGATATTAATTAAAGGAAATAAGCAGATTTCTCAAACCTCCCGCTCTTTCGGATGGACATCGAGATGCGGCAAGGTGTATTTATAATAGGGCCTCATATTTTTGAAAATGTAAACACTCGAACCGCCGCCAACGGCTAACACTGACGACCGCGGTTCGTAGTTTTCTGTGTACAAGCCAACCACTCCGCAGGTTCGATCTACCATATTGTGCTCGGTTATCTGATCACCGCCTTTGTAAACTCGTATCTAATTTTTCGGAAACAAGAGAGGAAACATATAAATAGAAACGTCCAGGTACGGATTTCTGAATTTGTTCGATGTCTTTTAACTGCTTTATTGTGTGATCTGAAAAACACTTCGGATTCATGTCAAGTGAAGTAGTAGTCGACTGTGAATTTGAAATATAGTTTAATAGACTGTAAAGACCGTGGCGTACTTTCGTTGAATTAGTACCCAGTGGACCCAGGTCAACGCAAATGAGTCTGGCATCTCCATCTCCGGTGACATCAAGCATATCAAGCGCATTCGGTAAGGTGTACAATTTGGCTCCTGGCTCCCAAAGCGCTTCCAGCCATCGATTGGTACTCAGACCCACCATATTATGCTCGGCTCTAAATAAATTTTCCACTAAATTATTCAATGAAAAAATTCCGACCTGGTACACACACACACACACACACACACACACACACACACACACACACACACACACACACACACACACA